GAGCAACTAGTTTCCCTCCACTGACTGAAGACAAAGAGAAAGAAGGAGAAGGTGCTGGGTACTCAGCCAACGAAACTCCCCTTACCGAGGAGTACTCTGAGAGTTACAAGGAAGATAAAAGTGAACAAGGTGCATCATTAAGTTTTGCTGCAATCACTCCAGTTAATCCTGCTAAACGTTCTAGGGCTAACGTCTCAGCCCTGAGTGCATCCAATGGGAGCACAGCAAGCCAAGGGAAACATCTGTTGAAAAAAACAAGGAAAGACCAAAGTGACAGTGAGTCTGACAAGTCTGACTCTGATTACACGGTTACGTCAGGACTTGAACTCTTGAAGGGACTGGCTGATGCGTACCAGAATAGTACTACCGAAAATAAAGTAAACTTTGAATTTTTTTTGGATTTAATTGAGAATTTTTCGACATTGGAGGAAATTCTGCCTACAGAGGTGCTCGACAAGCAGTACATTGGGCAGGTGATTGAGTCAATGAAAACTCTGCGCCTCCTGACTGACAGCAAATCAATGAAGAATTGTCAGTAAAAACCTTTCATATACAACTCTTAAAGACCTGCCACTTTCCCCTAAAGGAATAGAACTTTGCGGAATTAAAATTACCAATGTACAACCCGCCCTTCACATAATAATTACATACAGACCATCCGATGTCCCTCTAAATCAAAGTCAGTGGGACAGTATTTTTGATAAATACTCTAACGAAAACTGCCTATTTGTAAGAGATTATAACGCTCACAATGTTGTTTGGAATTGTGCAGACACAGATGTCAGTGGTTCTAGTCTTGAAAAATCATTAGATAATTTCGATCTGTTTCTGCACAATACAGACTCTCTCTCTTCCATCGATATTCATAGAAATTATAGGTCAAACCTAGACCTGATTTTGTCAACTATATGAATCTGGCTGAAAAATTAACATACAACTTTTATGATGAGACTTTTGGCTCCGATCACTTCCAGTAGCTATTGAAATAGCTTGTGAGCGGTTTGGATATAAAAGGAAGACTTTCAGAACTTAAACGGTTAAAACTGATTGGTCCAAATTTTCAACTAGTCTTAGTGAAACTACAGAAAAATTCCACGATTACTGCAACTTAACCCCAGTAGAAAAATAATCCTTTTTTACCCAGGCTGTTCATGAGGCGATTAAAAATAGTACTCCACAAAAGAGAAAGAAATCTGTCTTGGCAACTAATCATAATAATAATAATAATAGTATTTAGCAGTCCAAAAGAAGCCTTGTCCCCCGGTGGGATGGAGATTGTGATAAAGCAAAAAGACTGAGAAGAGCCTCCTATTTAAAGTGGGGCCATAGCTTAGAATTGTGCGATCTCACAGCTTATAAGCGCTAAGTAGCACTGTGTAAAAAATTATTTAAAACTAAGAAAAAAGACTACTTTAGAAGTTTTGCCGAATCGATATCCTTCCGTACCGATGCGGGGTATGTGTGGAGAATAAGTAAAGTCCTCAAGAACAGATTTACTAAGCCGGCAGGTTCTGATCCTATCTCTCGAGAGGAGGCTAGAAGATTAGCATTGAGCACCATCCATGAACTCTATCCTCCTATACAATCTGATCCTGACTTCATTCTTCAATCTCAGCCAAATCCTTTCTTCGACAGGCCCTTTGACTACTCCGAATTCAATGCTGCTCTCTTTCAAAAAAGAGATAAGTCCTCTCCTGGGATGGACGGCCTGGATTATACGGTCATAAAAAAATGCCACTTAAACTTCACTTGATTCTGCTTGATATCCTTAATGAATTGTTTTGGCATCACGCACCTACCTTTCGGCATGGATGGACACACCTAATTTTAAATCGTGCATTCTGATATGTGATTTTCTCAAAAGAAACCAATTATTTATTTAATAAACTTTGTATTCTAAGTTTGTAAAATGTAAATTTTAAAACTGTACTTTTTTTTTATCAGCCCTTGTGGCATTAGCTGTATTGATTACACATGTAAATCAGAAAAAGCTAATACTTAAAATATCATACAAAAAAAAAAAATGTGTTAGGGAGTTAGTTCATTTGAAGATGGCAGCAAAGAACTAGAGACGATTTTCACGGACATCAAACGCGTGAGGACGCAGTCGACGCGTCTATGTGGCTGCGGCCTGATTTTTTTCAATTATACCTCGAACTATACCTCGTGGTATTAGGCGAACACGAGGGGCGAGAAGGTAGCAGGTATAGTTGCCCGTATATATAGATATATGATGCACAAGGGATTACTTGATCCGAGAGCGGCGCAGTCGTCAAAATTCAAAATTCTGCTTATAACTACCAGGAGCAGACGTGCACCAAGGAAGTGGCACGTATATTAATATATATTTGCGGCCTCGAATAGAAATCCTCAAAAGCAGTTTTCTGGGACGTCCGGACTTGAATTTTACTCTAAGGTAACCAGGAAAGCATGATAATCGAGGAGTTCTCGCTATACGGTATACACGTGTCCGGGCATCGGTCAGGCACGTGCAGGGTGATGGCAGAGCGGCACAGCCACCTAAGTATTAGGAGAACATGAACTGAAAAGAGGTAATATGTAAACGTAATAAACGTGGACGCGTGCAACAACGTCATATATGAGGGGGTTGATGTATACTGCACGTATATTATACATATTATATATTTTATGTACGTATATGTATACACGTGATTGCCTTGCCGACCCGGAGAATTTCAAAATTTCGCACATAAGTATTAGGAGAACACGAGAACAAAAGAGGTAAGCGATACCTGGCATCAGGTATTCTGTCAAGAGTCCGCAAAAGTCGCGGCACGATGTCCGTCAGTGCTCTCCCCGAGGTATTGGGAGAACACGAAACGAGAGGAGGTGTCCCAAATCCCAGGAAGCTCACGTCTCACGCGGATTTAATATGCGAGTCGGCATAACAACCGGAGAATTTCAAAATTCTTATCCTAAACATTAGGAAAGCAGGAAAGTTTAGGAGTACGTTAGATGTGTCAGAGAAGGACGAGAGCTGTGCATGAGACATCCTCAAAAGCGCTTACTGGGACGTCTGGGTGCCAAATAGTTTCTCCGAGTATCCGGAGAACACGACCAAGCAAGAGGTTGCGAATTCACTCGTATATATAGATATATACACGCACGTATTAATTTACGGAGCAACATAACAAAGTATCGGGATTGTTTATTTTTGACAGATTGTCCGTTTTTATGAAAGTGCGTGGACAATGTATTTTATATTGTTAATAAATTTTATAATAATGTTTATTTTAATAAAAACTTTTATTTCTAACCTTAATTTGAGAAATCTTGTAAGGGTTACAGGAAGAGAGATGTAACACATATATTTCTATTAAATATTACTTTTGTGGTATACAACTGGATAATAAATTTTTTTAAATAATAATAGAATACATAGGGTTGTAAAAAAAATCCGTATTAGATTTACGTAGACATAACTCTGAAACAATATCATCCAACACTTAGGATAAGAATTTTTTTGGGACAAATTAAAGTGATAAAGCTATCTAGCCTCTAGTAAGTTTAGGTTGGCGAGAACAAGATTTATCGAAATACAGTAGAGTAAAATAAATCTCTAGAAGATCTTTAAATAGTGTTTGGATTATTAATATAAGTTACAAAAAGAAATGTACTTAATTGCCCAAAACAGAAGCAACAAAATTAGGGGTATCGGAGTTATGTGATACACTATACACCGAAAATAGATTGAAGAAAAGGCACTTGTAAACATTGATGATTCACATCTAATTTCTTCTTCTAAGAAAATCTATTTTTACATACTTTTCTCCGCACAGAATCACTCGAGAACTGAAAATTTTGTATCATGAAGCCATTTGTTTCGAAAATTTTTCGAGACAGAACGAAAAATTTCTAATTTTCCAGCCGGCATCTACACTTTAAGGTTCTCGATCAAGAATTTACATAATAACTGGCCAAAGAAATAACAAACACATCCATCTCAGGTTGTGCAATGTCTGCAGTTTGCAGTATGCTTTCTTCTATCTCATAAACGAGCTATCTACTTCTTTTTTTTTTCTTTGTAATATCCGTCTCTCTGGCGCTCTCTTGATTTGATTAAGATTCGAGCATACACATATGAGAAGCAATATAGAAGCATCGGATGCATCGGTGCTTCGTTCCAGTTCACGTACGCGTGCTTGTGTTTTTGCATTATCGTCTATCCATCCTTCCATAAGTACAGGTAAGTGCTAATGAACTTGGTATCTCATTTTTTTTTTTTTTTGCAATACCAGGTGCATACATAATATGTACTTATGTCATCTAAAATTCTGTTCAAACCATTTGTGCGTCAACCGTGATCGTTAATAACAGAAATATAATTATTAGACTCGCTGTTGGTGGTGGGCATTGTCGAGTAGTTGCTAACAGGGGGGGTTAAGCGGACCGACGTTAGTGACTTTAAAGTGTAACAGCAGCGCGGGGGTACGCGACGATCTCGTTCGGCCGACGAAGACGACGACGCGTCGCCATCTTTCCCTCGGAGCCTCACCGGAGCCGGGAAGTGGCTTTCGATACGACCGACGTACACACGACTACAACAATCGATTGTTGTTGTTTTTTTTTGCTGCACGTAATCGAGTTCCAAGGGGGGGTGGGGTTAAGGGTGGGAGGGTTTCTGAAAAAAGTGTAGCCGTACGCTCACGCAATAATGACAACAATAACTGAGATGCTTTTCTCCATCTCTTACCACGTATTCATTAATGAGAAGAATCGTCATTTTATGTGTACACTGTACTACTGGTAGATGATGTTTGACATTTTTAGAATGTCTACCCAACTTATGGAACAATACGTAATGTCTGGTGACTTGAAGCTTACACGCTTAGTTGCTAACTATTTGTTTAAATTATACTGCTGAAACAACACACACACACACACATCCGTGATTCTGGACGAAGATATAAGTTGGTAGTAGATAGGTAAGCAGATACTTAGGGTGTAGCGTTGAGTCTATGTCCGACCAACTGACTTACCAAGTGACATGTTAACTTTTGCCTCGACTTCCGCCATGCTAGCCCTTTTTTTTTTTTTTTAACAATTTCTTCACTTTAATTAACTACTCGTTGGTGTACATAAATCTACATGTAATGCGAAAGGCTTTGTTAGTTATTCCTCGTTGCAAACTTCTTTTGTTAGTTTTCTGGTACTAGTAACAACGCGTGGGTTAGGTATCCCGAGTATCCCGACGAATACTATCATATAAGTGTTAATATACATATATATCTATTTACATTTATGAATTAAACGAATTGATAACACGGACACGACGGAAAGTATGTACGCGACTGACCGCACCGGACTGATGTGGAAACACAACATATATAAAATACTTGGGATAACGTAAGCAACATGGCCGAAGAAAACGTTGCTTGTTCGTATACACACACAGCCGGCTTTAGCGCTCCGTTCGCGCTGTACTTTAGAGTTTACAGGGGGTGCGAGCCTATTGTGTAGGTTTATTTGAGATCACTTTCGGTTCGATCTGGTTTAATAAGTTTTACCTCTACTCTAAATAGACAAAAAAAAACCTTATGCAGAAATAAAGTAGAACAACCAAGGTTGTGGTTGCTGCGGATGAAAATCTGCAATAATTGCAAATCGCGGGTTTTTTTTTCTCATTAAGAGATATTCAACGGAATAAACCTACAGTGGGTCTGGGGTAACCGAACCGGATTGAACCAATAGCGATGGCGAATAAACCTGAAAGCCAGAGCTGATGGCGCGACTTTACAAATTGAGCATCAACCTGTATTTTCACGATTATCAAATCGTTTATCATTTTTATTAACTGATAAGATACTTTGGTTGCCGAATTTTGTTGCATGACTTCATTACAATCGTTAGAACAATCTGTACGTATGTCTGTTCAGTTTTACATAAATATATATATTTATATATATTGCGAAACCTCAAGAGTCGAGATAATGAAAATTGATCAAGGTTTTTCAACGAGATTTGGTCGATACTCACTTGATGTATATTATCAAGTGCCCGTGTCAGTCTCCTCCTGTTCATTGTTTTTTTTTTTTTTTTTTTTTTTTCTTTACTTTACGTTAAATACTCGCAACAATGTGTTATTACAATATTCAATAATATCGTGATACATATACGTTATTCTTGTATTTATTATGTTTTTTTTTTTTATCCAGCTGAAGAAAAAAAACAACAAGTTTACCACACAGTTTGTTTATCATAAGTGATGTGCCTTCGATAAAGTTTATTTTAACAAACAATTGGGCATGTTTTTATCATCTTTCGATTTTTTTCTCTTTTACAAAACGTAATCAAATGTTTTCACTGGAAACGACTTTGTTATGTACTGTATTGTAAGAAGTAGAGAAAAAGAGGGTTTTAGTACCTACTTATAAACTTTGTAAAAAAAAAAAAAAAAATGGTTGCTCTAAATTTTCGAAAAAGTATACATCCACGTGCTCGCTTCCCGCTACGTTAGTATTAAAAAAAAAAATCGATGTCAAAGTCACTCGAGTCATCGTTATCGAGTAAACACATGGGCTCATTAACCGAAAGTGGTAATACCTTACGTTATTATTCTATACTTCAAACGAATTTTCGGTAAACTATTTCCACTTGATCAAATAAGCCAGACAATAATGTGGAAGGTAAACAGTGATGTTTTATGCTACATCGTCAAAATAATCGTCCAACTGAAATGTAGTAGCGCACAGAGTTCAGATTATTACAGTTTCGTCATCTTCTTCGGCTATAAATAATAGAGTAAATACGGTAGCAATTAACTGCTGTCTAGAAAAATCGAGGGAAAGAAAGACTCACGAAGAAAGTAGAAATACACGATTCCCCTTTTTCAACATATTCAGATGCACGAAAAACTAAAAAAAAAAATACATATACATATATATTTTTTTTATGGTAAATACTCAGAATTAGGAGTAAAAGCCTCGCGTGTCACTCTAATCTAAATGTATTCCATAAAAGTTTCACCGCACCGATCGATAAAACAAGAAAAAGCCAGGCACCAATCGGCAAATAAAAAACATAAGCTCGCGGGTCTTGCAAGCGCTTAGACACACGTTGTTCGTTAGCATATTAAAAGAATGAAAAAAAAAAAAAAAAAAAAAAAGCTACCTATCTGAACAATAGGAAAAAAAGCACGCAGCGGCTTTCGATGAACGAAAGAAGAAGAAGAAGAAGAGAAAAAAAAAAAAAAAATGCTGGGGATCCGATGATTGTGTGTAAAGTGTACATGCGTGCGCGTGGGGCGTCTATACCCCCCGCACACCGGCATTACAAAGAAGAGAGCAACCACGGTAGGGTCGAAGAGTCTCGGCGAAAATACGTACTTCATTGACTCTCGCGCGCCGATCTACGATACATCCTCCGGGAGCAAGATTGTCAAATCAACATTTTTCTTTTTTTCCCCTCCGACTCCGCGATGCTGCGGTTTTGCCCGTAAATTATATTTTATCTGCCACATTACGTTGTCACAGGCTGCGTGCATTGGAAATGTATTTACCACCGAATTTCCTGATCGTGCGATTGTTCTCTGTGCAGGTTGAGCTTGAAGATAATGGAGAAGTTCGTGGAGGTGCGGGAGGCCGTGAGGGAGGACTGCCAAGAGATCCGCGCTCTCATCCAGGTACGTTTTGTCAAACGAAAAGCACATATACATTTATTTCTCTATTATTGGCGAGGCTGTTTTTCTGCATAAAGGTACAACTCTCCTATACGTGCTCCATGTGGGGCAGTTATTATTTTTAGAAGTCCAAAGTTTATTTATACCACCATCCGTGCCTATATATATATAATACCTAATGTGTCTATGACCCGCTGCGCGTTACTCATATTATGTACAAGCGTATGAGTCGCCGCTCCGGTTTTTGGTACGATGATTATCGTTCTCCTTTCGATTGCTCTTTTTCTTTTCAACCGTTCACTACTTTATTTTGTTTTTTCAATGCATCCAATAGAATATACCTACATTCTGTCAACACCACGATTGAAAGGTATTGGCCGTTATGTTGCCATTTTTCATCAACGTGCTTGTCTTTTGGATTTTTGATCGTTCGTTGGATCATTGCAACGATTAGATGACTGATATTTTTTAAATGTGTCGAACAATTTATTTTTTTTATATAATTATTATGAACTGCTTCACGAAAAAATCGTCCGTCACGTGGTTACTATTAGAAAGAACTTACGCATTGTTTGATTTCGTATGAACTGCGATACGCTTAAAGACAATCAACCAAGATTTTAATAAGGAATTGCAAAGTTGATAAATGATTAGAGTTTCACAAATGTCGATATCAGCTATATATCCCAACACGTGAGATATTTTACGAAATTTTAATTTTTAACAAGCTGCGCCTATCAAACTTTTCGATCCAACAAAAGGCATTTATCTCCACAATTTCAAGTGCGTCGCGTCAGATTTTCAGGTTGGCCACGATTTTTCGGATTTACTTAGTCATGATACAGGAAACGGTATAAAAAATATTATCAAGTGTCGAAGGTGCAGTTGTTTTGTGGAATCGCTCACCAATACGTTATTTTTAGCGGCAACTTAAGTATCATTGTAATGGTGTTTTTATTCTCTCTATCTCTCGATCTTTGGTTTAGCAAAGCTTTTATGCATTCATTAACATTCGTCGAAGCTTTTTATGAAATTAATTTTCCTCCGCCCACCAGCCATCTTCTGCGTATCTCTTTCTTCAATCCTATTCAACGTACTTTACACGCTCATCAAGTATTCTTATTCTTTTCTTCTTCGAATACCAATTACTTCAATTGACAGGCGAATCATTGTAATTGCGACACGAGATGTATGTTTTCGAATAGACATCGGTATTTTTCAACAAAGTCAATAGATGTGTGTTTTTTTTTTCCTCACGGTTGTACCACACCGGTTTTTTTTTTTTTTTTTTTTTCAAAAGAATTTAATNTGGCCAAAGAAATAACAAACACATCCATCTCAGGTTGTGCAATGTCTGCAGTTTGCAGTATGCTTTCTTCTATCTCATAAACGAGCTATCTACTTCTTTTTTTTTTCTTTGTAATATCCGTCTCTCTGGCGCTCTCTTGATTTGATTAAGATTCGAGCATACACATATGAGAAGCAATATAGAAGCATCGGATGCATCGGTGCTTCGTTCCAGTTCACGTACGCGTGCTTGTGTTTTTGCATTATCGTCTATCCATCCTTCCATAAGTACAGGTAAGTGCTAATGAACTTGGTATCTCATTTTTTTTTTTTTTTTTTTTTTTTTTTTTTTTTTCAACGTCACCCGTCTTGTGCGTGTACAGTTTTGGAAAAAGACGGCTTCGACCGCGAAGATCCGCTCTTCAAGTGCTACGTCGCGAGCTGCGACGGCAAAATCGTCGGCTACGCCCTGTACTTTTACATCTACTCAACTTTGGACCCCAGAGCCATACACTTGGAGGATTTGTACGTGACTCCCGAGTACCGCGAAAAGCACATCGGCAGTCGCCTCTTCGACACAGTGGCCAAGGTCGGCAAATGTTCTCAAATGTCACCACATGATATACATGCGTATAATATAATCATGATTTTTTCTTTTTTTTTTTTTTTTCCAGCAAACTTTTTCAGAAAGGTGCCCGTATTTGGATTTCGCGGTGCTCGGCTGGAATCCAGCGCGGAGCTTTTACAAAAACAAGGGGTCGGTCGATCTCACGGAAACGGAAGCTTGGCGCATGTATCGACTCGGCCAGGATTCGCTCAAGCATTTAGCGACAAGTTGGTTTTCTTTTTTTTTTTTTTTTTTTTTTTTTCTCTCATCATAGCACGGGATTGATCGTAAACTTGTACTCGAGCGCGTCTTCGGTTGATTCCAGATTATGCAAATGGTCAGTGCGAGGTGCGCCAAGCCGAGTCGGGTGATTTCGATACCATCAAAAGATTGGCCGAGGTAGGCGTTTGTCTGTATAACATATACACCCCTATTATCGTTTCGTTTACACTTGGAAATGATTTTCGTAGGAGGCGTCTTTCAATACTACCACACGAAAGATCAAAGACGAGAAGCCGAAGATTGACGACGTGTCGATTGTTATTGAAGGTGAGGAAAATGGATACGACGACTGTTCGTTCATCTTGATGCGTGTCGCTTCTAATCAGCTGAAAATATATATATATATTTATCGATTTCAGGGAACAATACCAAAGGAGATAATACGTACTACGGATATCTGGTTGGCGTGTGGAATAAAAATGTAGTCGGATACGCATTGTACTGTTACGCGTATTCCACTTGGGAGGGAAAATCGATGTACCTCATGGAATTCTATGCGTCACCCGGCGAACACAATTCGAACGTGAGGGACAATTTGTTTTCTGCCGTGGCTAAGGTTTGTTTCACATATGTTTATTTTTTTTTTAATTTTTTTTTTTATGATGGTATGACAAAAAAAAATATCAAGTCCTGATATCATTGCCAGAAAGCGTACGAGGACAAATGCTGCAGGATCGACTTTTGGGTGTTGGACTCGAAGAACGAGGGCAAGTTTTACGTGTCCAATGGCGCCGTCGATCTCACCGAGAGCGAAGAATGGCACCTCTACAGACTATATGAACTCACCAAGAAGTCATCGTAATGTAGTACGGATCGATCGCTACATATACATGCATAAATCGTCCACATAGATCATTTGCGAAAACAATACATATACACCATATATATATACTCGTCAATCACGCTTAAAGTATTACGTGGACAATACTGAAAAATAAAAATGCACAAAAGCCTTTTTTATACTATGGACAAATGTGTTTTTAAAAAGTAAAAAGAAAGAGCCATTTGTCAATACTTTGTTGCGTTGTAGCGTCGATCGATTTCAAGTGCAACTTGAGTGTACAGGTATAAAAGAAGAATATTCTCGTAGTTAAAAAGCCGCAAAGTTTTTTCCTTACCTGCAAGTGCGCCAACGGATGGATATTAACAAACTGATGTACAAATATAGCACCAAAAGTCGAGGAGGCGACACAGCGAGACTGCAGGCATCGGTTATTGTCACGGCCACGTACGTGCGCGTATTGTATACAAAAGTGAACATGGACAACAAGCTTTGTTCATCTCGCTTCTCCTGTTGACAGTTCACAAGTAGAATATATATATANATATATTTACTCGCTTCGTCAAATTCATCTCGTATTGAATAACAGAAAAAGAGAAGAGTACGTGATAAGGGTAAAAATGACTTTTATTGCGAATTTAAAACATAAACAATTATTCAATTGTCACTGAATCGAGCGATAACGTGCATGTATTGTAAAGGACAAGATGAAGGAGCTAGAACTGTTAGTCAAAATAAATACAACGCAGTGTTGGCGTATGGATTTCATTAGATGGCCCGCATCGAATTTGTCGAATTGGTCAGCCAACAATAGTCTAATCCTGATTCGGGGGTGCACAGATCTTTATTCAGTCTAGGTGAACGACGGAGCGTCGTGGCCACTGCCGGGTTGCTCTGCTTGCTCGTGGAGCGAGTAACGGGTCTTCGAGCTGGTGGTGATTTTGCCCTGCAACAGGAGAATACGCGACAATTACGAGATCCATAAAGGATGAGGAGTCGTTTTCACTCCCAGCGGAAAAATGATGGTTCGACTCGCTCACCTGGGAGGCGGGGGAGACTCCTCCTCCTCCTCCTCCTCGCTCTCTTGCCGCTGTTTTTCCTCGTCTTGCTTTCCCTCGAGCTTCATCATCTCCATCCTTACGGTGGTGTAGTGTATGTGCACGCTCACCGGGTCGAACTCGGCTCGGCCGCTTTTATTGGCACAGCCGTCGCTCGTACAGCTGCACGGAAAGCCTTTTCCGTTCACCTGATGCCATGACAGATATTTTTCAGATCAATTTTTCTCTTTCTAACTTACAAATGTTTTGCATTTCATAAGAATACCTTTGATATCCATGTATCAATAGCTTATCATCAAAACGGACCGATTTTAAAACATAACGATCGATCAAGAATGTATATCGATTGAGTTGAAAAAAAGATGAAAAGCAGTAAAAAGTAATAGATCGTTTGCGTGTTGTGGCGGTGTCAATCGTGTTATTGTCACGAAAGATATATGTGTATCCTTATACGTAGAATAGGAGTCTGAGCGGAAAAAAAAAAAAAAAAATTCCATTGGTAGCGGAAAAGTAACGCACGTACCTGGCACTCAACGTTGGACCGACTGCACGGGCACCTTTCGGGGTCGCATCCCTTTTTGCAAGCGCACCCGCAGCGTCTCCTGCTCACCCTGATTTTCTGGCAGTTCCTTCCCTCCTCGGGATCAATGGTGTCGATTCCGGCCGATTTCAGCACGCACCTCCTTTCCCGGGCAGGCACGGGCTGGATGGACTTGCACCGCGGCTCATCCTCGTCAACCGCTTCGCAATCCGAGAAGGAGAAGCTCTCCTCGTCCGAGTGAACCGCCGACATGCCCAGTGTACTGCCACCCTGTGGCAAAGCACGTACATTTATCGTACACATTCTCACGGGTATTTTCAGCTTGCGTTCGTAGGAGATCGGCGTTGTTTTTTAATAATTATTGTTACACATGGAAGGCTAAAAAAGAGTTTCTCATGCCCCAAATGTTCATTTTGGAGAAAGAAATACTCATATGGTGTGCAATAATATATGTATACCAACTGTACTTTCTACGGAAAAAAACAACAACAATTGATGATATTAAACTCGAATCTCCTCGGGTGTCCTTATGAGTTTGTTTTGTAAAAGAAAAAAAAAAAAAATTTAATTGATGGATCGTATTTTCGAGTTTTTTTAATAGAAAAATAATGAAAATGANTGCCAATATTGCAAACTTTGTTGACGTGTAATTGTGTAATTTTGTATGTAGATTTCTTTTTTTCCAAGGTAGTTATGATTTTTGGAATAAATCCTATTTTGGTATAATGTATTATTTGTTAAAGTATTAAAGAAACGGGTTTTTGAATGAAAACAACAGGTCCTTATGAGTTTGTTTTGTAAAAGAAAAAAAAAAAAAATTTAATTGATGGATCGTATTTTCGAGTTTTTTTAATAGAAAAATAATGAAAATGATCGCGTATCAATACACGTATAAAAATATACATATAACAATACCCTTGAAGGTACACTGATGAATCCTTGATTCCTGGGGAAATGGTACACGGTGGCCAAGTCGAACCGTACCTTTTGGGGTGACTTGTTCTTTCCGACTTGGGTCATTTCCTTCTTCTTCAAACTGCTTTTAAGTGCATTTTCCGGTAAATCCGACGCCATCGATTCAAGTCGTGCGGCTAAAATAGACATATCATTTTTGCGTTTGATCGTGTCTTTTTTTTTTTTTTTTTCTCGGCGCATCATAGTATCACAATATTTATTTGCCTATTCGGGATGACGCTGATTTTCAAAACATTTCCATTTATATAGTCGAAAAGATAAAGTGACATTAGTATGCGTCTTATCGGCTATACGATATAATAGGTGGTGACGGACGCTTCTTACGGAAAACAAACGTTTTCGGATAAACGCGTGTATTTATATCTATTTAATTGTTTTTCTTCCCCAAAAAGCATATCGCGAATATCAGTATAGTCTACTGCTTTATCCGAAACGAGCCGTAAACATAAATTTAAACCTATATATATTATCGACTATCGATTTCAATTCACGTTGTAGTTTTTTTTTCACTTTCGAATAAACGACAAATTTACGAAACGAAAAGCCGAAAGAACGCACGATTATAAATTCAAACTAATTAAAAAAAAAATCACTTGACTGACCCGTACACCGCTGTGCTTCATTATATAATGAAGTAAAATTGTCTGTCTGTCGGATCAGTTGGCTAGCATCGGGCAAAACAAATTTGCGCGCAAATCTCCGCGTGTGTCTGGTGACGACTCCCTCCCTCCCCCACACACCCGTACACTTGGCGAAAATGACGCTGACGTTATATACACGTATGCAGCAAATACAAATATATACCTATACCAATGGGTTACGTAATGGATAATTAATGTGGGATACATTCGTGCTCTCTCTCTCTCTCTCTCTGCGTGCTGTCGGGGGATACATAAATAATACAATGCAACCAAGCACGTTGTGTCGTTCGTATGTATAGGTATGTGTATATGTATATTTGCGGGAAATCGGAGAGCGTTTATACATATATATATATATGAGTGCATCTCTCATCCCTCCCTTGTTTACAATTTTGCGTTTAGTGGCATTTCGCGAGCCGCAAAGCTCGTCGTACACCTATGCGCGCTGCTCCATTTCGATCCGATCTCGCGCTCTCGAACCGATTTTTTTGTTTTGTCTCTTCGCAAGTGTCATTTTTTACGAATCCTCTGTCAATGCTTATATAATATATATATATATATACCAATGTTGTCATAAAAAAAAAACTAACTTTTTACAAGTATAATAGTTTAATAGTATTAGAAGGAGAATATATTATAAGAGACGATAAAATAAAAAGATGAGCATCAGCGACGAGGTGACGATTCGAGAGGCACGTCGGGAGGACTGTCAGGCCATTATCAACTTGTCGAAGGTGAGGAGAAATATAAAAATTTTTTTTTTTTTTTTTTTTTTTTTTGAGCTTACCTTGTTCTTTCGCACTCGTACCGATGACGAATTGTGTCTTTTGTGCACAGGAAATCGCCAACTTCCACAAGCACTTCAACGCACCCCAGATCGACGTCAAAGGTAAGCCGCTGTCCTCCACATCGCTGTACAATACGACACTTTTCTCGTTGTTGTCGCCTTCCATATATGTATACATATGTATATATAGACACAAAAATATCTGGTATCTGCTGTGTGTACTACAATAACATAAATTATAGACACATAAAAAAATAGTTTTGAACCGAATGAAACGATAATTATGGAAATTAAAAATACATTGGATTGCTAGTAACAAACCGTGCGCGTGTACTTACCCGCAGGTATATTTATGCGAACCGTAAAAAAATCTATCCGTCCGTGTGTAACCGTGTGACGTGTGCACGTGGTGTTGAAGCTATACTCGGTTTTGTTATCTTGTACTTGTATGTATATGTTGTATCAGTTTTGGAGCACGACACGTTCGACGTGGAAAATCCAAACATGGGCTTCTATGTGGCCGTGATGAACGACAACGTCATTGGTTACGGTCATTACTATTACACGTACACCTTGAGACTCGGGAGAAACATGTGCCTGCAGGACCTCTACGTGCAAGAGAAATTTCGAAATCGGCGCATCGGTGACAAGCTCATGCAGGCCATTGCTCATGTAAGTGTTGTTTTGTAAACACACCCGATATACTCATATATATATACATATATATATACCTTCAGTAGTTGATCGGTCGTGCTCATCGCTAAAATCGATGCATTCATACTTAATACAAATGACGCTTACCTTGCGTTGGATATACACGTACCTACATATATATATGTCTTGAGTAGCGTAACTTAAAATCAAGGAAAATCGGTAAGGAAAATTTATTTTTTTTCTGCACGTAAATTGCAGCTTCGATCATTTTCTTAATATTTTTTGCGCGCTGAAACGCAATAAAATATATGAATATACCTATGTACAAACCCAACGCGGGGGGAGGTGCTCTAAAAATATACCATTATCGTATATGTTAAAAAAAATATATATGTGTGTGTGTTGACAAAAATCTTTGTAAATGCGCACGAAAAAAAAAAAGCACGTTGTATAATTAAAATTGTTTAATCCCAACGCGCAGAAAGCGATCGAGCAGAATATCGGCAAGATGGAGTTTGTCGTCACGGATTGGAACCCGGCCAAATCGTTTTACAAGCGCATGGGAGCGCTCGACATTACCGAGAGCGAGGCTTTCCACGTCTATCAACTCGATCGAAGCTCCATACAGAAGATTGCCTCCCCCGATACATGACAAATCCGTCCCATCGTCAACCGATCGCGGCTACGTTTTGTCCTCGCCTCTTATCTGTACGCCGATTTTTGTTAAGCGCATAGTACATCGTCGTTGCCGCACGTGATTTTCATCATGAGTTTAACGGCTAATCACTCCCGTGTTAAATAAGTTGGCGTTTTTTAATTTAATTAAAAATGTCTGTTTCTGCAAACAAAAAAACAAAAAAAAAAAAAAAAAGATATTGGCATAGTATATACTATTATTCCCGTACATTTTGAGATGCTGTATACCTTATTCACGTAAGACTGATCAAGATCGTTATGTAACTTTTCGTGTGCTCTTTTGATGCAACCACAATAATTAGGCAAAGGAATACTATTTAATATCTTTCATCTAATTTTTTGCCATTTTATTGAAGGTATTTTGGCTGTTTATTAATTTATCCTGCTGTACTTATTTAAAACAGGGGTACTCGCTTTTGAGTGCCAATATTGCAAACTTTGTTGACGTGTAATTGTGTAATTTTGTATGTAGATTTCTTTTTTTCCAAGGTAGTTATGATTTTTGGAATAAATCCTATTTTGGTATAATGTATTATTTGTTAAAGTATTAAAGAAACGGGTTTTTGAATGAAAACAACAGGGTTGATTTCTTTTTGGGCACTCACTGTTTTATTTTATTACATCATGCAGTTTCAATATACATAAATGAATAAATAAATAAATAAATAAATAAACGCACAAACTAATAAATCATATAAAGTAATACGTATACGAGACCAATTTATCATATTCCACTAGGTTGAGTTTTAAAAAATATATGTATACAATTTGGTAAAATATTTAATTCGAGCATTAGAAATTATTTCGATTCTTTGATTCAATCGACATCTTTCACATATTGCTTTAATCAAATGCATCGTACATACATATATATACTTTCACGTGTAAAATTGCACCCCTCGTATACTTTGGTACATAAGTTTCACGGGCCGCTCAAGGATACAAATTATACAAGACTACATGTATATTTTCATACAAACGTACACGTGATTTTCATTTTAGCTAGAATATAAGTAAATTGCTGCAGTTAGTTTTCGAGTAATACTTTAATTAAAAATTTTTTAAAAACAGACAATTGTAGCTCGGTTGGCTATGCCTCGATTGATTGGTCGGCTAAGGCATTAGGTACTACTGCTTACAATGGGGCGCGACATTGAATTCAAGTATAAGTAAAAGAAAAATTTTAGATTTTTACTTAACATTACTTAGGAATGAGGACAAGTTGGGCAGGAAAAAGGAAGAAGGGGTTAATAAATGGGTACAGGAAACGCCCTTTGCAAACAGTTTCTAAAAAATGATATAAATAGTTGCATAAAATAATAAAAAAATAATCATGATAAATGACTAGAAAACGCTGAGTAGTTATTAGGAACACACAATTGTAAAATAATAAAAAAATCACACGAGTAAATAAATCCAAGGACAAAAAACTGCTAATAGATTGCAATAAAATAAATTATAAGGCTGCCACTTCTTCTTCCAATGACAAACTTTGCCATACTTCGTTGACACACGTAGCCAGTAGATCCACTCCGTTTAATTCCTGTAACTTTGGGGTTGTACTCACATTATCTGAATTATCCGATTTGCTCAATTTCGATGGCGGCTTTTCATTTGCTAATTCGCCGACGTGCGTTCTCAAATGTTCCATGTATTTGGCTTTGGTTCCAAACGTGGCTGTACAGCGCACACATCTGCAACGAAAATCCATAATGGTGAGTTGTTAAAAATTCTAAAAGGCTCAACGAAAATTCACACAACAACTCACTTATGCTGGTTTCTTCTGGCCTCTTTTACCGCAGCTTGTTCGGGATCATGGATTTTCTTGTGAGCATGTAGGTTGTATCGCTCAGCAAAACTTTTACCACATGTCGGACATTTGTATGGCTTTTCACCCGTGTGGACACGCATGTGTCGTTTAAGGTGAGACGTGGACAGCAGAAGCAGGTCGCAGATCTTGGAAATAATAAATACACATGTATTATAAAAGGCATACTTGAAATTGATCATTTTCAGACAATGATAAAAATACATACGTTGCACTGATAATCCTTCTTGCCAGTATGCGACAGAGAGTGCATGTTGTAGCTTGTATGATGCTTGAAACACTTGCCACAGATTTCGCATTGAAATGGAGCTTCATTCGTGTGGAGCGGTAAATGTCTATGAAGGGCGCCTTTTTGTGTAAAACATTTGCCGCACTTATTGCATTTGAAAGGACTGAAACCAGCATGCATGCCCAGATGGATTTCAAGAGCAGGTTTGTGTTTGTAAGCTTTGCCGCACTTTTCACAGATGTAGGGACGCAAATCGGGATGTTTGTCGAGAAGGTGGTGGCGGAGTCCCGTCTCGGTTTTAAAGGTCTGGTCGCAATGTTTACAGCTGCGCTTTGTAACTTTCTCAATTGGAATGTCCAAGTCCTCGGTTTCAAACTCTTGAAACAAGAGCAGATTATTCATTAAAAACATTATTTTTCATTAGAAATCTCAAGTATTCAAATTATTGAAATCGTAATATACCTTCATAATCAGAATTGTCCTCTAGGCTTATGGCATCTAAACTGGAGGGTACATTTGATTCTTGACTAGTATCAGACGAATTTGATTCTTGACTGATGAGAGGAACATCCGTTCCTTGACTATTTACACACAGTTGATTAGGTAAGTTAACAACTGTTTGAGACTCTTCATCTTTACTTATAATACTAGATTCATTGACTTGCTTATTTATTAACTGTATAGAAATAACAGTACCGCTAGTGAAAATACTTTTTAAGGAATGTATATCTTTTTCAGTCAAATACTCTTCTACGATTTGTTCGGCTTGCTTAGACTTATTCGTATCATCGTGTTTTGTTGCCTCATTCGAGTTTTCTGCAATCTCACTGTCCTTTAAGGTATTATCCAAAAAGTCATCAAATAGTTTTTCATTGTTGTTCGTTTTAAAGGTATTTAAAATTTCAGACAAAACACTTGTTGCTGTATTCTGAGCTTGTTCAAGCGCCCAAAAAGAATTAAAGCAATTTAAGCAAAGATAAGAGCTAGGTAATTCTGAATCGGAAAGCTTGAGTATTTTAAGTACGAAACTTGAACAGGTTTCTCCACTGTGAGGGAAGCATGTGTAGAAAATGTTAGTAAAGGCGTTTGAATCAATATCTGAGTGGCAGAGAAGACATATTAATGGTGATGAGTCTGTTACATTCATGAAATTCATTTTAATATTCTTTTCGTTCACTAAAAGTTAAAAATAAAATACATACTTTTAGTACAAGGATAAACATTACATGAGTCATAAAAAAAAAAAAAAAAAAATAGTGAAACACGAAAAACTTACTTTGTTCAGTGGTACTGTCATAACCTTGGATGCTTTGGAAACAGGCAATCTATCATCGATACTTGAAAAAAATTATAGCTTGTAGAAAAACTATAACTGGACAAGTGGACTTTAGAGTTAAAAACATTGTAAAATGAAAAATAAATAACAATAAATTAAAAAATGACTGGTAAACAATCGTCTGCTCCTCGGCAGATCAATTTCGACGATCCGCCATACTTGTCGACTCGCCGCACCCCGCGCGCGCGCGCCCATCACAGCTTCGCGCCAAAAAGCTTGAAATCAATAATTTTTCCGGTTACACCGAGAGAGATACTTTTTTTTTCGTATTACAGAAGAAAATCTACTTGGGTGTAAGGGAGAGTTAGAATCAAAATGACAACAACAAGGTAATCATAAAGATAAATGGTGGTTGGGATTATGATAGTAAAAAAAGAGGATCAAGTTCATAAAAAAGAATAGTTTTTATTTCATTAAAAATAAAAAAAAAAACCTTTTTCAACAAAAAAACAAATTATTATGCATTTTACCGAATAACAATACCTACACAAATCCTCCCCCGATACATGACAAATCCGTCCCATCGTCAACCGATCGCGGCTACGTTTTGTCCTCGCCTCTTATCTGTACGCCGATTTTTGTTAAGCGCATAGTACATCGTCGTTGCCGCACGTGATTTTCATCATGAGTTTAACGGCTAATCACTCCCGTGTTAAATAAGTTGGCGTTTTTTAATTTAATTAAAAATGTCTGTTTCTGCAAAAAAAAAAAAAAAAAAAAAAAAAAAAAGATATTGGCATAGTATATACTATTATTCCCGTACATTTTGAGATGCTGTATACCTTATTCACGTAAGACTATGTAATACTTTTATAAAGCTCTCTTAGGGTAAGATTTTAGTCTATTTGTGCCATTTTACGTTATTAAAACTGATATTGAGTGTTTATAACAAAACTCATTAAAAAATTTTTTTATGTATAAAATGTACTAAAATAAATGGTAAAATTAGATTAATTTTTGGTTTCTTTTTTGTCTTATAGTAGCTAACAGCTCATCTATATCTAGGTCAGAGTCTTTGGTTTCTAATAGTTGTTTACGAGGTGCAGGACGAGGTACTTGATTATGATGGTCCATCATGGAATTAATACCATCAGAAGTCATTTGTGCAGCAAAAGTGGGTTCATCAGACTGCGTTTGAGGGGAAAACATGGCTTCCACAGAACCGGCTGGCTTACGGCGAGATGATTCAAGCTGAAGGAAAGATGCGTTATTTATTTATTTTTAATTTGACGCTCCAAAATACGGGGACTTGACATACCTTTTCTTGAATTTTTTTCGATATTTCAGCTATTCTTTCGCTCTGAGACGTTTTCAGTTGAATGTTTTCTGAACTTGTCCTCATCTCTTTCATGGGTGACTTTAGTTTTTCCTCCAAAATGCTAAAAATTAAAATGATTAAGGTAAAAAAAAATTCACTTTTCCAAACTGCTGCTGAACAAACCTTGAAGTTGTATTCCAGTCACTATCGTTCGCTTCTTTTTTATCTTTATACTCTTCTTCTAGCAGGAATTCTTCTATAGATTTTGTTTCAGCTGCTTCTTTCTCGGAATTTTTCTCTTTGTCTACTTTTTCCAGATCGAAAAGCACTTTCTTCTTGACCATAGCTGAGCCCATTGCCGATTTAAGAACACTTTTGTTGTTCTTAGGCGAGGCAAGAGCCCACATGAGGCTTTGCTTTGACGATTGGTCCGAGTCGTTAGCAAGAGCATAAGAATCCTGAAGTATACTTTTCGCGCTTTTAGTCGGGGTGGAAGTTACTTTGGCGCTAGAATTTTCGAATGTAGGACTTTTATCGATATCTTGCATGAATTCCTCGATGGTTTGATAAGAGCGCTGCAACTGCTTTGGTCTTTGAGTTGCATCGATAATGGGTTCTGTATTTTGTTGACGAATGCTCTCATCTCTAAGTAAGCTGGGTTTCAAACGTAGGACTGGTTCGTCTTTTTTCTGCTTCCTATCAAATTCGTTTGGGGCTTGTCTCATGATTTCTTGAATATCAAGCTGAGTTGGTTTTTTAGGTAGCAATTCGAGGCTCAACTTTCGTCTTGGTTGAGATTCTCTGGGAGTTGAATTTTTTGAGCTCAATATGGGTGTTGATGTATCTGTACGCAGGTAAGGAATCAATGACAATCAAAAATTAGTAGTAAATCAAATGTGAACAACAGAAATACATGTATCCTTACCGTGGTGCCCTTTGAAATCGTGAAATGCTTTTAAAGCTTTTGATTTGACGTTTTTCATAGCTTTGTTGAGAAATGATTTTTTTTCCGATTCGATTTTTTTTATTGATTGTTCAGTAACAGATTCTCGCAATTCATCAAGTATTTTTCGGCGTGTATGATCATATTTTGGATATTTCTTATGTGTAAATACAAAAAAGTTTTGGCAATTATTTGATTGCAATGATTTATTTTTATGAAAAAATTCGCATACTTACTTTGGAAGCGACATTTTGATGATGTTTTACAGCCTCCATTTTTTGTTTGAAAGTAGCTTCGGGAATTCCAGCCCACTCTGGATCAATTCCTAATTCTTTTAATTTAGTCTCAAAGATTTCTTGCATTTCTTGTCTAACAGACTTTAACGACGCAGTAGAAGAACGCCGTTTGTTCTCAGTATTTTGCTTTAATTCATAAATTAATCATTTTATATTTGATTCAAATAAAATCGAGACATATTTAAATGTAACGAGAATCTTACTTTGGAGATTTTTTCTTCCAATTGCGAAAGATCTTCGTCGTCAGTGGTTTCAGTACGCGTCGCCGATGATTCACTTGACTCATCCTCAGTCTCTTCTGCAGACTCAGACTCCTCTGACTCTGATCCAGTTGTTGTTGCACTCATCGATTCATCGAGGGAAGAATATTTATTACCATTTTTCGTAATTTTACGCACATTCATCATGCTTTTTGGCTTATTGTCGTGATAAATTTTTCTTTCGTCCCGTTTTGGTATTTTCTGCTGCCTAACTGGTTCTTCACGCTTCTTAACTTGTCGAGTTTCCTCAATTTTCTTATTTGATGTAAGTTTATGATAACTTTGGTTTGGTTTCAGTGGACTAGATAACTGCTTATTTACAGTTTGTACCAAATTGTTTTTTAAATGAGCTTTTACGCTCTGACTACTCTCGCTGTCGACGTCATCCTCCGTAAGACTTTCAACCTTTTGTTTATTAATTTTTTGATGCGCTAAATTATTTACCTCTAGCTTTCTTGTTTGTTTTGCTGGATTCTGACTATCCAGCATGCCTTTGGTAATATTGCTCAATTGCTCGCTCTGTGCGGTGAGCAATTTTGATTGGTCCACGGATTGTTTCTCTAAAACGGTAACTTTTTCCTCATACTGCGATTTCATGAAATTCGCGGATTCTTGAGTTTGTTTCAACTGGGTGAAAAGATTCTCTATGTCATTGCGATGTTGATTCTCTACCTGCTCGATTTTTGATTTCCAATAACTTTCCTGTTTCGTTAGTTTTTCTTGAACTTCATTTGTATTGGTTTTCAACTGAAATAAAAATTTACGAACGGGACAATGTTTTTACGTAATTAAAAGGGAAAAAAAAGTATTACCTGCTCCTGCAATTGGTTCCTCAGTCTTTGAATTTCATTTTCCTGCTGGCTTATCAGTTCTTTTACATTCTCATAGTCTACATCATTTTCTTGCTGAGTTATACTAGCTTCCTTTCTCTTAATATTCTAAAAACGGTATATCATGTAAAAAAAATCGATATAAAAAAATTAAGTACTATAACAGTCGTTGAAAAATTACCCTAATCTCTGTAAACAGCAAAGTTTTCAGATTTTTGATCTCATCCTGGTATCTGCGGTACTGATCATCGTGCTGATACAAATTCCCATCCTCCACGGAAGTTTTACTCGTTTCGCTTCGGATTACGCGTTCAGTCTGGTTAAGACGTTCCTTTAGCGTTTTAATTTCATTGTGCAATTTTTCTGTCTCAACTCGATATTCCTCATGAGCCGCTGGCAGCGAGTTTGACAGTACGTCTTGCAAATTCGAATGGCGTCTAACCAGATGAGCGTTGGCAAATGACGCCGACACAAATGTTTTGGGACAGTGAGGGCACTATGATGTAAAAATGTTTAAAATTTTGTACACCAATTTTGTTGGATAAACGTTAAAAAAATAATTTTTACTTTATGAATCTCTCCATGCGCATCCGACTTTGTATCAGCAGTTTTGTTTTTCTCTTTCAATTTTTCTTTTATTTCCTTCATTGAAATATGAAGCTGTGAGATTTCGTTTTTTAGCTTTACATTTTCCTCTATTTTATACTTTAACTCCTCTTTCAAAATGACAATTGATTGGTCCAAGTATTGCTTGCAGTACAATAAATATTCAACAGCCAATTGAGCCAAGCGAAACAGTTTAACAAAATTGGGATCCAGAATCTTTACATCGTATTCGCTCTCCAAATAATAATCAATAACATAATTAACATTTTCATCAATAGTTTGAAAATCTCTTTCTCTTATAACTCTGTCTACATCTATTGCACCTGAAAGAAATATTGAAAATCATGATTTTGAATGTTTCAATGTTGACCAAGTGTCGGAACAAGTTCAAGGCTCCGAGATATCCCGAGTTTCCTTATTTGCTTAAATTTTTTTTTTTTTTCTTATCTCTAGCAATGAAGTTGTTACCTTGGAGTAGTAACATATTACTATCTTGATACAACACAGATAACAGATTTTTATTTATTTGATATAGTTTGCTCTTCTTGCTTTAAGCCTTTAACTGAAAAAAATGACACTTACTTATGCGATTCCAATCGACTCGAACTCTAGCTGAATGAGTATTAAAATAGAAGCCTGACTCTCTGGCAAGCTTTGGAAAATCGTGGCACCAATTGGTACCTGCTCTGAATGAAAAAGCCATTATCCCTGCTTTTCTCTTTCCTGCTATATTTCATGCAGAATGAAAATAATACACTAGTTAATTGCTCCACATGTTTATGCGGCATCTCCCTCTTTTTCCTTATCATAATAGACACTGATTAGCATGTACATTACTAACCTTGTTATCCATATGACAAGCTCATAGTTGGAAAAAATCAATCACCGACTAATTGGTCGTTACCACGCATCACCTGTAAAACACCAAACAAATTAACAATTAACATTGAAAACTTCACTCTTCATTCAAGAAAATTGCAATCTAATCTAACTTTTCACGGAAACAATTTAAAAAAAGTTGCTGCCGACTGCATGATAAATTACAGCTGCTACGAAAAATCGTCTAAGCGGCGTAGGATGATAATTACACAGCACAACAACAGTATGTCACCTGCGTGATGTGGGCTTTCAACGAAAAGAGGGAGAAAAAATCGATCATCACCGGCCACCGCTTCTTTAACGTTATCACCTGTTCATATACGTATGTTTGACGTCACACTCGAGTGTGATTGCTCTGCATTATTACTTATTATTTTGCCGCTTCTGGCATTCATTTTCCTCGAGCGTAAATTAGAGCTCATTATCCTTTATTCGTCCAGTAATCGATGATGTGTTTTCACGTTCGACTGGCAATCAATCAGGCAGGCACATGCAACTGTTTATTTGGCATAAACAAAATACTGGCGGTCTGTCATCGTTTTGGAGCGCTGCACACAGAGCTTAGCAGACGACACGACACTTTTTTAAGCGGGGATTTAAAAAGCACACGTGACGAGAAAGGAACAATACAGTGTTCTTCGTTAATAAATAATCCTTCACTCGTCGTTAGAAGTCATTAAATAAATACCATGAACACTATGATTGGCCAGCTCATTTGAACCGTACGATTGTGGTGAAAGAGAGGAAAAAAAAAAAAAAACAAAAAAAAAATTGATGAAAAAAATTAGGGTCAAGTTTGATGAAACAGTGAAAATAAATTGATGCCCGCGGTATGTAGACGCGACAATTACTTTTAATCGAGCGAATTGACGTTGGTTGTATATACACGCGATAGATTCATTTGTACCGCGCAAAGTACGATATACACTCGTATTGATGAGAACCAACTATATTTATATTGTCAAAATAAAATTTATTGTTACCAAACTCCCAGCGGAAGAATAGTTTTTCAGAGGAACAACGTACCAAATCAAAATAATTAATAAAAAAATGAATACGCACACTTGCACAATTTGAAATATTTATTTTTGTTCGAACCGATTTGCTCCGGTCTTTGAACAATAACATACAGAAGCACTTGTCGTGAGGCATCATTATTATTTTTGAAAAGACGCACGTGTATGTGCCACTTTTTTTTTTTCTCATGCATTTACAATGACGTTTGCTTTATGCTTACTCAGCGTGCGCGTAAGCAAAACACTTGAACGCACTCGAAGGCTGAAGCATATTACTTATATTTTTGCCGATTTTTTTTTTTTTCAACGCAGAATTAAAGTCTGTTGGTAAACGCCGAGAAAGAAAAAAAAAAAAAAAAGTTACTCTACCCGTATATTACTCAAATAGACTCATATTATTTACCGTTTCGTTAAATTGACCGAGGGAGCATCGGCGAAACGCAATGCAAAACTCTACAGTTATCATTTTATCTTGTTTTGATCACTTTTGAAAATGTATACAATCAAGATGAGTGTTTGACATGATGAAATATAAAAAATTTGACTTTTTTTACACCTACGCCAAAATAAACAGTAATATTTTGACGCACGCGTCATTGCCAATCGCAATCTGTTTCCAAATAGTTAGTTAAACCCACCGATTTTTTCGCCGATTGCGAAAACGAGTCATGTGCATTAGTACACGCGTATAGATGTATAGCGCTAGTTTAGCGCAAATCACTTCGTACGGTAGTCACGCATTGTTTTATTGTACATTGCACACAGTTCTTACATACAGATGATGTGTGCGAGTAGGGAAAAGAAGGAAGAAATGTGGCCAAAGGGGGAGGGAGTCGTCTCCGTTGGTTACCCGAGCACATCATCTTAGTCGCTGTTCCACAGCCACAGAGTTTGCATTGCACGTATTGGGAAAGATAGATAGTATCAGAGAGAGAGAGTATATACTATTTTACACGTTACTACAAGATACACGGGGGAAAAAAAACAAAAAAAAACAAAAAACTATCGAGTAAAGCAGTGCAATTATTGAATATAAAAAAAAATAATGCTGCTTCTCGCCGGTGTATATATTATACGTACGTCATGGATTTAAATAACAGTCCCTGGAAACATGAGAACCCAAGCCCAAGGCTCTCTGCCAGTGCTCTCAGCAAACTATTCTTTTGGTGAGTTACTTTTATATCATTACATACATGTGTGCGTCGATCTATTGCAGATGAATGATCGAATTGATGAATCGTTGATTTGTTACATGCATATATACATATTTACACTTGCTCTTAAATAGATTGCATTACATATGTATACTTTTCTGTTAGCAATTTGTTGTTGTTTTTTTTTTTTTTGTCCTAGTTCAGTATAACGTGTAGAAATAAAAAAATCCTCATTTATTTATTTTATTTCGTATATCCACACAATTATTCGCACAACTAATGTCTTAAATGCGTCCAGTTACTTTTTTATATTTCTTTAATTATTTATTATTTATACCGTACGATAATATCGTGTCAGATGTAAATAAATTTTCTACATCAGTATATTTTTCCTTTTTATTATGCTACACAAAACATATAGTACTTGTGGTGTATATTCGTTTGTCGATTTCTCGAATAAATAAATAAAGATTGCACGGCTATACAACACAGTCAAGGATTTCTATGACGGTAAGGTTTTTTTAATTATGTATTTCGCTGCAAGAGTGCGAATATAAAAACCGTGGAAAAAAAAAATGTGAGACTGATTTTTCGATTTTTATTTTGTTAAAATAATTTTTTTTCTTTTTTTTTCAGCTGGCTTAATCCACTTTTTTGGTATGCCAGGAAACACGATCTCGAAGCCAAGGATCTCCACAATGCTTTGCCCTGGGACCTCAGTGCCCCATTGGGCGACAGATTGGAAAAGTATTTTTCTTGTTTTTTTTTTTTTTTTTTCATTACAAATTAAAATTTTTTCACGACTGCAGTTAATAATAAAAAAAAAAAAAAAAAACCGTGTTTTGAAGGATGTGGAAGCTTGAGGTGGAAAAAGCCGCAAAGAGCAAGAAGAAGCCCAGCTTGTTGAAAGCTGTGGCCAACACATTCGGGTGGTCCTTTCTCCAGTACGGAGCTCAAATATTGTTTTTGAGCCTAGTCATTCGCATAATCCTTCCTCTGACGATGGGCGTATTGATCTATCACTTTGACCCGTGCTCGACCACGACCACTTTGGATGCCTTTTTACTTGCCTCCGGTGTCGTTCTCATAGCTGTTCTGCAGGCTATCGTACACCATCACACGAACCAGGGATTGTTGGAAGTCGGCATGAGACTCAGGATTGCCTGTTCGTCGTTGATTTACAGAAAAGTACGTGCTCGGTATTTTTTTCTCAACTTACCGATTTATGAAAAAAAAAAAAAAAAAAAAAATCCTTGTTTTCATCCACATTGTCCTTGTTTAGACGACAAAACTATCATCCGCCGGTCAAGCCGCGGGAGGTTTGATAATCAACTTGCTGTCAAACGACGTTGCGAGATTCGATCTTGTATTCTTGTTTTTGCACTACGTCTGGATCATGCCGATCCAAGGGGTCCTGGTTACCTATTTAATCTGGAGGCAAGTCGGAATCTCTTCCCTCGTCGGTGTCCTGTTCATTGTTGTACTCACCCTCCCGGTCCAAGGTTGGTCGTGTGGACAGCATTGATTTTTCTCTCTCTCTCTCTCTCTCTCTCTCTCTAAATATTCTCTTCTTTTTTTTTTAGTTTATTGCGGCAAATTGGTGGGAATTTTGCGCAAAAGAGTCGCCGCGAGAACGGACGAGAGGGTACTGCTGATGAGCGAAATCATAACTGGAATCAAAGTCATCAAAATGTACACCTGGGAGAAGCCTTTCGAGAAGCTCGTGTCCTTTGCCAGGAAGTACGATGATTAAAAATTTTACTCTCATCCTCGATTGACGTTTAAAATTTCGTACATACATTATTTTTGTGCACATAATATATAGGCACGAAGTTGACGTTCTGACCGTATCGTCCTACTTGAAAGGCACAACCCTGGCTTCTTTCGTATTTATAGAGCGCGCCTCGTTGTTTGTCACTATCGTGGCCTACGCGCTCCAAGGGAACACCGTATCTGCCGATAAAGTTTTTACGATGGCGCAGTACTATAATCTCTTGCAGTTGACGATGGCAATCTACTTTCAACACGCGGTCGGATTGGCCGCCGAAGCCAATGTTTCCCTCAAACGAATACAAGTATAAAAAAGCGGTGACAATTATAATTATGATTACACCAAAGTCACACACGTCCGAAACACATGTATTTTATTGTATGATTATAGAAATTTTTACTCCTCGAGGAGATGGAGGCCAGTGGTGGGGCCAAAAAAATGCTGGCCATCAACGACAGCACGAGTATTTTCATCAGAAACGTCAAGGCTTCGTGGTCAGTGAACATGATCGCCAACACCTTGCACAACATCGATCTCGTCATACCCAAGAAAAAACTGTGCGCTATCGTAGGCCCGGTAGGCTCGGGAAAGGTAAAAAAAAAAAAAAAAAGAAAAAAGGAAAAAAAAAAGAAAATTGGTTCTTTTACCACGTACATTATCATGTGTACGAGTCGTGCCAAGCTATATGATGTTTGAATCTCTTGTTGTATTTTAGAGTTCTATTCTAAAATTGATCTTAGGTGAATTGAGAGAGTCGAGCGGACACGTACAGGTGACGGGTAGCGCGTCGTACGCGAGCCAAGAGCCGTGGCTGTTTGGCGGCTCCGTGCGCAATAATATATTGTTCGGTGCCCCGTACGACAAAGATAAGTACGACCGGGTGACGAAGGCTTGCGCCCTGCCCAAGGATTTCGAGCAGCTCCCCCACGGTGACAAGAGCCTCGTTGGCGAGAGGGGCTCCAGCCTAAGTGGCGGCCAGTGCGCGAGGGTCAACTTGGCCCGAGCTGTCTACAGAGATGCGGATGTGTACCTGCTGGACGATCCCCTTTCCGCGGTCGACAGCGACGTCGGCCAAACTTTGTTCCAAAAGTGCATCAAGGAGCACTTGGCGGCGAAAACCCGAGTCCTCGTCACCCATCAGATTCAGTACTTGAAGGAAGCGGATGTCATCATTTTAATCAACAACGTACGAGTCAATGCACACAAAGCTTTATTGGCTCGATGTAACACACACATTCGATGCGTTTCAGGGTCGAATCGAGTTTGCGGGTACGTTCGCGAATTTCCGGAAGAATCAGGATTTCCTGCGCCACCTGCCGTCCAGCGGCGAGGAGGATAAAACGGTCGCGGGAAGCGTGGATTCCACGAGCGACAACGCCCAAGTGTCCTTGGTTGTGGATCCCAAGCGCGATGAGAACGAGGACAAGGAGCCGGAGGAGACGGAGGAGCTCATGGCCAAGGGAAACGTGGCCAAGGGCCTGTACTGGAAGTACTTCCGAGCCGGAGGATCGTCGCTCGCTCTGGCGGTGTTGGTCCTGTTGTTCGTCGTCTCGCAGTTTTCGAGCAGCGGCTGTGACTACTGGACCGGGTACTGGACCAGGCAGGAGGAGCGCAAAACGCGGGACCACATGAGAGCCGCCAACGCCTCCGATTGCGGGGCGATGGAGCCCACGGGTAACTCGACCTTCGACACTGAAAAATACGAAACGGCAAAGTACCTCGACAGAGACACGGCCTTGTACGTGTACACTGGCCTGATTGTCGGTACGATCGTGTGGACGGTCGCGAGGAACGCACTTTTTTTCAAGATCTGCATGAACGCGAGCAAGAGCCTGCACAACGGGATGTTCGCGAGTATTCTGAGGGCGCCCATGCGGTTCTTCGACATCAATCCATCGGGTCGGATATTGAACCGGTTTTCCAAGGACATCGGGGCAGTGGACGAGAGACTGCCCATGGCCATGATAGACTCGTTGCAAATATACTCGGTGTTGCTTGGGATTCTGCTGCAAGTGCTGTTGATCAATTGGTGGTCGATTTTTCCTATGCTGATCATGGGGGTGTTGATAGCGCGGATAAAGGACATTTACCTCTCTACCGCTCAAGCTATCAAGCGACTCGAGGGAAACGGTAAATCAACTTTTTTTTTTATATTCTGGTGTTTTATTTCAGTTTATTATAATAAAAGAATGAAAAAAAAAAAAAAAAAAAAAACTTGTTCAGCAAAAAGCCCGGTGTTTTCGCACACCGCCTCGTCGTTGGCCGGTTTGACGACGATTCGCGCTTGCCGGGCGCAAAGCATGGTGTGCAAGGAGTTCGACGCGCATCAGGACCACCACACGGCCGCCTGTTCCCTCATCATAGCCACCTCGACGGCATTCGGCTTCTGGCTGGACATCATATCGGTAACGTTCATCGCCTTCGTGACGTACAGTTTCATCGTGATTAGCGACCTGTTCGGCGAAGCCGGGGAGAGGCCGTTCGCCGGCAACGTCGGTCTTGCCATTTCCCAGTCGCTCATCCTCTGCGGGATGCTGCAGTTTGGTGTTAGACAAACGGCCGAGACCATAGCTCAGATGACGAGCGTCGAGAGGATATTCCAGTTTACCGATCTCGAGCAGGAGGGGCCCTTCGAGAGCGAGCCCGGACAACGGCCCCCCAAGGAATGGCCCTCCGAGGGAAGGGTTGAGTTCAAATCACTGTACCTCAGATACTCCGACGAAGGCGAACCTTCCCTCAAGAATCTTAATGTCCTTGTAACGCCTGGGATGAAGGTACGCGTACCACCGATTTTTACCGTCCATTGGCGTACACGTTATTACTATTATTATTTGTTTGTTTCCGTTAAAGGTTGGCGTGGTCGGTCGCACCGGTGCCGGAAAATCGTCCCTGATATCCGCTCTGTTCCGTTTGGCGAAGATCGACGGCTCGTTGCTGATCGACGGAGTAGACGTGAAGAAAATCGGTCTTACCGATCTGCGCGGCAAAATTTCCATCATCCCCCAGGAGCCCGTACTGTTTTCGGCGACGCTGCGCGACAATCTCGATCCTTTTCACGAGCACGACGACGCATCCGTCTGGGCAGCGCTTCGGGACGTCGAGCTCGACAAAACCTTCGCCTCGCTCGAGCACCCGATAGACCGTGGGGGCGGCAACCTCAGCGCGGGCCAGCGCCAATTACTCTGTCTGGCCCGAGCCATCGTCAAGAGAAACAAAATTCTCGTCATGGACGAAGCCACCGCCAACGTCGATCCCAACACGGACGATTTGATTCAAAAGACCATAAAGGACACATTCAAGGATTGCACGGTGCTTACAATAGCGCACAGGCTGAACACGATTATGGACAGCGATAGGGTGTTGGTGATGGACGCAGGTGTGGCCGTTGAGTTTGACCACCCACACGCTCTGCTGCAAAAACTGGACGGGCATTTTTTCCAAATGGTGCAAACCACGGGGGATACCATGGCCCAGCATCTCAAGCACATTGCCGAACGTGTGAGCGTTTTTTCCATTCCCTGACGATATAATTTCGAATCTTGGGGAAATAAATTTTATTTCACCGAGTTATGTTGTTTCAGACTTTCAACGAGGACTCAAATTTGACGGATCTAGTTCCTGATGGCGGTCAAAAGAGCGCCGACGAGGAGTAATTTTCAAACTTGGCACATTTACTTTTCGAATGCTCGTTTAATGTCATTACGTCAGCCTTACGATTCAACGTTGTACAAATCATTGAAATTAATTGCGGGCACTCGAATAACTCTCGCGTCATATACCTAAAACAAATAACCATAAACATACGAGACAAAAAGCTAGTGTAGAAATAAAAAAGGTTTTATTCACTACTGTACTTAACTTATACTAATGCACGTTTTTTTGAATGTCGTAATTTTGTAAAACGTACACGTTGTAATAATGGTAAAGCATTTATTAAATTTCTAAATATATTTTATGTACTTGATAATAAAAAAAAGAAAATTTTCAACCGTCCCTACATCCGTCATTGATTTAAACGTAAACGCTAGACGAATTTTCTCCCCGCACATCACACAATTTACATGATTTACTTCGAGGAGTGTAAATATCCAAGTATAGACGAGGAAACGCGCTAATAATATACGAAACTTGAGTTACGTAAAGGTGGGAGGAATCAAACGATGATATCTATCGGCAATAAAAATACTACGCAACGAACACAAAAACGAAAACAAAAAACAAAAAAAGCCGTATACAGGGATTGAACAACCAACTATAACGTCTATTAAGCGCTTTGTTCCTTATCTCCAGCGAGCACTTACGTGTCAAAAATGACAATAGTCCGAGCGCTCCGAAACGCGTGTATTGATTTCCTCGTTATCTTAAGTGGAAATGAAAAGAAAAAAAAAAAAATAGATAAGTAGAGCCTCTTTTGTGACGAGCGGCCAAACCAAAGTTTTGCTCCCGTGCAGCGTGCCAGTCGGCAAGCGCTGCTCGATCTATTAGGCTCTTCGCGCTTATACGTTGCACGTACGTGCGCGCGTGTGTGGTGACGGGCGAGTATTTACAAGTATGTGACAGGGGACCCACCAGAAACAAAAAAAACAAAATTTGCCCACGTAAATTTAAAAAACAGGATGTCAGAAGTGAAGAAAAAGTACGGCAGTCGCAGTCGAGATTTTACCGACAAAATATTCAGCAATTTGTTTTTTTGGTGAGTTTTACGATTTTATTGTTTATCTCCTCGAGACAAAGACATACTTGGTTGACGAAAAGTTCAATCAACGTCGACCTTGAAGCGATGCGATCTAAGGCTGTTATTGCAGATCTCATAGCACACGCACCAATAATAATGTTATACGGACGCTGATAACGACACGCGACTTATACCTTCATTGAATTTGATGCTAATAGCGTATAGTACCACGTAGTATTGCGTATCTCGGAACCCTTTTTTTTTTTTTTTTTTTTTTTTTCAACTAAACCAGTGAAAACTCCACAAACGGGTAGAACAGAAGATTAACAGTTAATGGTTTTTTTTATTCACTCACCAATTATGACTCGGATATTAAATTTATGCATTGCACCTCACCTATCGCGTGGTAATTTGGAAGAAAAAAAAAAAAAAAAAATTCTTTATGCACGTATCGTAAAAACGATACACTTTTTGCTATTTATATCAATTCTGTGAACGACTGCATCAGTCTGATATTGCACATAGTATGCGCCTCTTATCACGTGGCAGCGACGCAAAATACAAGCGCGTCAAACGGATCTTGGAGGCGATATATAATTGAATTTTACGTCTGTCGGTCAGTGGGACACACGGGCTCGAGATAAAAAAACACGCGTAAACTCGGATCGGGGTATTATATTACACTCGGCGATTTGTAATACACGCGATTATCGGATTCAATTGAAATATCCATACGATGAAGAAAGAGACGTTACACACAAGGACACTACAATTATATACTTTATTTATACAGAAAAATCCACGATGAAACACTAGCGCCGAAGCGATAGTTGTTTTGTTAAATAAATGCATCTTTGGTTTTCGATCGCGCAGGTGGCTCAAAGATCTATTTTTCCACGGCAGAAGGCGGTTTATCGGCCCGGACAATCTCCCCGACGCTCTACCCGAAGAACTGAGCGAGCCACTCGGCGACGCGCTGCAACTGTAAATATACAATATACCGATCACATCTCGTTCGATGCGTTGCCAGACAATTTTGTAATGTAATTATTTTCTCACGCAATGGGCATACACGATATATATTTTTATACGTCAACGCGCAGAGCTTGGGACGAGGAGGTGAAAAATGGCGCGGAGAACGGCACGCGACCGAGTCTCTGGAGGGCCATCCGGAAAACCTACTGGCTGTCGTTTCTCAAGTACTTTGGGCTCTTGGTCGTCTACGACGTTGTCAAGTCCGTAATCACGAAACACATTTTTTTTTAAATTTAATTTTCATTTTTTTTTTTT